GGGGGGGAGGTAGATTTGGTTGTGATAGGGATCGCAGGGGTTGGGCGAAAGTTCACTATTGAGATACTTCCTAATTGGAAATTGGTGTTGAATGCGGAACTAAGAGAGTAACCAAATGGTATTGCCAATTTCCTCATGAGCGCGTTACGTCACTTGGTTGAGGCAATGCACAATTTGTTATGCGCTCCATGCTTTTGTTTCACCTAAGGTAATATTAAAATCGTAGTAAAAAACTGCATGATTGATGCTTAAAATTAAATAAGTGCCTCGTATTAATGATCTGGAAGTAATTAAATTAACTCGCTTTTAACTTGATTTGACGACAATATTAATACACTAGGGATAAAACTATTTTCAAATTCTTGGTCATTGAGAAACAGCATATCCACTATATGCTCTCCCGAAAGACATCACTCCTTCATGTCTTTAAGATTAGTAGATATATTTAGGGAGATGATGTCTTCTAGTTTCCCCATTTTAACTTTCTATTTAATGCTGAATAAACAAACTCTGGAGAAAGTGGTCATTTCGATTCAAGTGCCTAATGGGGATAATAAGATTCGAATTCTAACATTAATAATACATTCAAAACTTTGTTCAACAATGAAATCGGTCTTTTTTTGTTACCATTTATTTCTATCAAATAATATTCACTTTTGGTAATTTAGTACAATAATTCATAAGTAATGCATTTGAATAATTTAAATCAGTGTCTGCAGCTAATGCATCATCCTAGTAGATCAATATGTCGGCCAAATTCCAGCACCAATCTTGTTTGTACTTATTCAAATGTAGGACTTTGCGTACGCCGCAATTTACGTAATTGACCCCAGGCATCTTTTTCTGATGCAATGCTACATGAACTCCTCTTCAGTTGGCTCGGATATTCGGGTGATATTTGCATCGTAGTGAGAGAAGGCAATTCATTTGCAGATCCTAAGTGCCTAATCAAGCTTACTTCAGAGAAACTGACTTTTATAACTCCCTGTGAAATTCACTTAATCTCTCCGATTCTCGAAATTGCTGGTAGCTCGTAAGGTTGAAAGATTTCATCAAGAAATTCACCCTTCCGGGATCGGAAACAGTTTACGTATCCAATTTGGCGTTTTCAATGGCTGAGAAAAGATCAATCATCATAATATCATTTCTCGTTGCGTGGAACAGACGCTTTGATGGATCCAGTGAAGAGTACTAGCGGCGCAGATTGGGGAGCCAAGCTTTTGCCAGAAGCCTTGCAAGTTGCACAAGAAGCTGATGGATAAATCAGATGAAATGATGTTTGGAGGTTTGCCTGAAGTGATATTAGATGCCAGTGAAGTTTTTTGCTTCAAAATGACATGAATATTGAAATCCCTGCTGACACAAATCATTCAGTAGTTGGAATTCATTCATCGACAGGTCCAGCGCAATCAAACATCTCCCTTTCCCTTTCTTATTGCCTAACTCGAAGCACGTTTTCCACACATAGAGGGATAAAGTGTGCGCATGAAGAGATGGGATATGGCAAGTGGACTGCATCTAGGCGGCTGATTCAACAAAAGCAGTCTTGAGAGCCTCCTCGGTTATTTGCATTGTGGAACGACTACTACAATGCAGAGAAGGAAGCCTTGGCTCAGCAGTCGAGGGCAGCCTTCGAAGAGAATCATGAAGAAGCAGGACCTAGGTTTTTTGTCGCACCAAGAAGGAAACACCCGACTGGGACTGCTGTCAATGTCTTCACTAGTTCACTCTCTGCGCCAACAGCATTTCCCAGAGCGAAATTTGCGAAATATGACATTAATGTGAAACCTCCATCACCACAGCCACAGTTCCCGCCATCTCGAATAATGAGTCAGCGAACACAAAGACAGCGAACACAATCTCGACACACGAGACTCACTGAATCATATCGGAAATTTGTTGCTCCTGAAAATTTCTACACTAGTACACTCATCTGCTTCATCCAATAACCCTTTGTAAATAAGTAACTCTTTTATTACTTCAATTTCCTCATTTGATGATGAGTTTTATCGCAATTTGTCAAACACCTACCTATAGGCGATTGAGAATTTTCACAACGAATGTAGAATGTACTTCATACGTGTCCGCAATTAAGAGTATTGAAGTTATTACTATTGAGATCAATCAGCATTTAAATGATATGATTCAGTAAATTGAGTGAACAAAATTCTTAATTTTAATACTTCCATTCTGGTGAGTTGCGTTTTTCCAAGGCATGATATTTAAAAGAAGAAATTAAGTAGCTTAGATGTGACAGAAGACTGAATAAGGCGCTGCACTCAAGTTTCAATTTCTATTCACAAAAATCAAGCATTTGCCGAATATCCGTCATTCTTGAACTAATTGGATTCTCACTTACCTCTCTCTCTCTCTTTCTGCAATCCAATATCTGCACAAAGAGTTTGCCATCCGCCCTACTGCCGTCTACAATCCAATACCGAAGATCAACGTGAAAGTGCAGAGATCTAAGGCACAACTCAGTCAGTCGTTTGACAACCGTCGGGGCAGCGATTCCTCGTTTTTCGTCGCATTGTGGAATGACTACTACAATTGAGAAGAAGAAGAAGTGGGGACGATTTATTGCACTGCACCTGTCGATGACTGAACTCCAACAATTAACCGATTTGGAACTGGGGTGCTAATGTCTTCTTGAGCAACTTCCAGGTATTCTCGACTGGATCCATCAAAACGCCTGCTCCACACTTTCTGCACTTTCTCCAATTAAAGTGGGAAAGCCAATGATTATGAAATGGTGTGAGCTGTAGCAAGTTGACAGCCTCAAGGTGGTTGATTAGCAGCAAATTGGCATCAATAGCGAATGGGGCAG